GCACTTTTCACCAAAGTGTTGGCACGGTTAACCCTGGTGTAGAGCTCAGGTTAGGAAATAGAAGCTATGCACATTAACAATGCCAGGAAGGGTGCAAGCTTCTGGTTTTTTGGTTTGTGATAGGTATTGGCAGCCACTCAAAAAGAAAGCCCTCCTGCCATTCTTCCTGGGGTGGAGGGTACCCAGATGGCACAACTTTCTCTGTCTAGGACCAGCAGGACCCAAGAAGGAATGGTCTTACTAGGGAGTAGGGCCACAGCTCCTCTGGAGAGTGCAACTCACACTAATCCCAGCATGCCCTTGTATCTCCCCATCAGACATCTCATTGCTATATTTAATAGCACATACCTAAACTTTTCAAACTTTCAATATTTAAAAAAACTCTCAAAACTTCCTCAAAGTGGGCTTGACTTCTATGTCATGCACCTCAGCATCTGAATCTCCCCTTCCTCACTCTTGCCTGTTCCTGGGCAAAGTGCAGGCCCTGTCCCTTGCCCCACCCCCTCTCACCCCGGTCCTCTCTCCTGACACAGTGAGCCCAAGTGCCCAACACCGGATGAGCAGCTGTGGGCTGATGGAACACAAATGCTGATGCTCCATTCCTGACCTGTGAGTTCAGTTCTCCAAGCCTAGCTTTTCTCCTCTGTAAAATGAGATTATATTTGCCTAATGGGGTAGATGAGAAGATTAGACGAGAAGACACTGGTGAGAGTTCCTAGTATAGTACTTGACACAGTATATTTTGGGCCTTCTATTAATTTTGAATAGCATCAACAGGCAAAACTTGGGTGTGACTTCAATCAATTAGCAATGAAAATCTGCCCAGTGAATTAAAGTAGTAAATCCACACAGTCCTCACAGACGAACATCTGATTTTCCTACTGCAGAAATATTCATGCTTTTAACACATAACAGAATAGGGCCAACTGTCTGCTTCCCAGCATACAAGGAAAGATGGGGAGAGACAGAACTGCCTGGCACCCAGCTTCGGCCCAGCACAGTTGGCTTAGTACTCAGTACTTAGCTGCTGAACTCTGCCTTGTTTTCTATTAGGCATACTGTTATGCTCTCATTTGGCAAAACACTTGCTCATGCAATAATTTATTTAC